GGGTGGAGGGAAGTGGAAACCATCAATCTCAGCAAACTGACACGAACAAAAAACCAAACACTGCATGTTCTCACACATAACTGGGTGTTGAACAATGAGAACACATGGACACAGGGAGGGGAACATCACACACCGAGATCTGTTGGGGGGTGGGGACTAGGGGAGGGATAGCATTAGGAGAAGTACCTAACATAGATGATGGGGTGATAGATGCAGCACAGCACCATGGTGCATGTAAACCTATGTAACAAACCTGCACGTTCTGCACATGTATCCCAGAACTTAAAGTATAATAAAAAAGGAAAAAAAACAGGTAAAACAGACAAACTACTGCTGAATGAAGTTGTACAGCTGATGTGTGAAAATTGAAATAGCAGTCCTCATGCAAAAAAGAGATACATAAAACTCTGCAAAGAACAGTGTTTGGAATTTGACAATCCAAAATGATGGACAACCATATTTATCCCTCTAAACGACATCCCAAGTTCCTGGAAACTACAAGAAATGTTCTCAAGATGCTCTGGTATACCGGACTGTCTTGCAACTAACTTCTTGGTAAACTGAGCTAATCCCTGCTGTGACCATGAATTAAGCTAATAAAAACCTCACCAACCTCATCATATGAGCTCCTTGATCACACAAACAAGTTTAATTTGCCACTTAATCAAAAGTAAGAACAGAAAACTAAATGCAAACGTGGTTGAAGTGTTATTTTAGGGTAGCATCACCCACTGAGGCAATGAGGTCTCCTAGAAGCACAGCCTTCCTGAAGCATAATGTCTGCTCCCTCTTTTGTGGAAAAATGTTAAGACCTCATTTAATTACCTGCATGTTGGCTAGCTCAGTGCTGTTATGGGACTAATTGGTACAAATTAGTATAAGGTATATTGACACTTTAGTCTCCTATAAACTCATTTCATGTTGAAATGCGTTAAAGTCAGTTCTAAAGAAATGACATAGTAAGCTGGCATACAGCAATAGAATCTTCTCAAATCTATTCAAATAATCAGTTAAAACAGAATTCTTAAAAATCCAAGCTACTTGGTGTAGTTGGTGTCTTAATCATATTGCTTGTTGTATGTTTTACTTGTGGTTGAAACATAAAAAGCCTTACTTTGGCAGTCTCGGCCATTTTCCTGTAGATTGTACCCACTGGGACAGGAACAGGTATATTTGGGAGAGTGATCATTAATCTGTGGTGCTGGCAGGCATAGGTATTCACATCCTCCATTCTCCATGTCTTCTTTACACCAATTTTTACCTAGTCAGGAAAAAAGCAATACCATTAAAATGGGTATTCCAGTGGCTAGTATATATAAAGCTTTGTTCTACATGTGGAAGACCTGAGTCCTTGCCCCCAAGAGCTTGTCTGTTCTGTCAATCCTCCAAATGAGAGCAATATCAAGGAAGAATAAGTATAAAGGTATAGGCAGAGTGCTCTAAGGACACCAGATTCAAAGCGACCTCTTGGAGATAGACTGTGAAAGTTCTGTCGTTAAGAGATAGGTGTCAAAAAAGGAGGTGGGGAAGGGAGGTGTGGGACCAGGACTGGCTCCTACTATTGGCCCAAGGCTTAGCATGAAGGCTCAGAAGAAGGAGACTAGGTATGTTCTCCTGGTTTTCTCTTGACTTGCTCCCACAAAGCGGAAGGAAGCTCAGCCTTAAAAAGGTTTTTAGGTTTTATTTAGATAGAACCAGCCAAGTGTTTTCAGCAGGAGACAATATAGCCTGATGTGTTTGAGAAGCTACAAAATCCTGTATCACGTGTGTCACGGGGGAAAACAGGTGTTATGATCTGAATTGTGTTCCTCCCTAAGATTCATTCTGAAGTCTTTCTACCTCAGAATATTACCTTATTTGGACAGGATATTTGCAGAGGTGATCAAGTTAAAATGAGGTCACTAAGGCGGGCTGTAATTTAACATAACTGGTAGTACAGCTCATGCCGGGGTAGGCAGATTACTCGAGGTCAGGAGTTCAAGACCAGTCTGGCCAACACGGTGAAACCTCATCTCTAGCAAAAATACAAAAATTAGCTGGGCATGGTGGCTCACTCCTGTAGTCCCAGCCACTCGGGAGGCTGAGGCACAAGAATTGCTTGAACACAGGAGGTGGAGGTTGCAGTGAGCCGAGATTGTGCCACTGCACTGCAGCCTGGGTGACAGAACAAGACTCGGTCTCAAAAAACAAAAGGAACTCTGGACACAAGCATATACAGAGGAAAGATGGTGTGAAGAGACACAGTGGGAAGAGCACCATCAACAAACCAAGAAAAGCAGCTTGGAGCAGACCCTTCCGTCACAGCCCTCGGGGGGCACCAACCCGGCTGGCACCTTAATTTCAGAATTCTGCCCTCCAGAACTTCGAGACAATACATTTCTGTTGTTTAAGGCAGTTTGTGGTACTTTGTTGCAACAATCCTAGCAAACTAACAGTAGAGAAAGTTTGTAGCACAAAAGCTACTTTGGAGGTTACTGAAAAAGTCTTAGCAAGAGGGGCTTAAGGCCAAGGGGACACGGATAAAACAGGAATAAAAGCTCTGACACTTGAGGCTTGGGAGGAAGCTAGGAGCTGAAGTTGAGAAGCCATTTCTCTAAGACAGCAGAAATAAAAAAGATAATGTGTGAAACGTTTGAGGTAGGATACAGCAGGGCAAAAGTTCCCTTTTAAAGAATGCTGAGTTGCCAAGAGCAACTGACATCCAGCAGGTTCTGTGTCATGCTGCTTCCCTTAAAGTGGTTATTAAGGACAGTTTCTCCACGGTACCTGATGGCTGTACAAGTTCATGATAGACAATGATGTCTTGGGCATCGTTAAGGTTGTTGACTAGAGTGGCTAGCTCTGATCCAGTGAATTTGTTGGCACCATAGACTGCTTCATTTTCCCCATCTATCCAGTAGACACGATCCTGAAACAGAACCCCTCAATTAGCATGTACATCCAGAATTAACACAAGTCCATTTCTAAGGTCATCATCATTTACTTCCCATTTAATGGACCACGTTTATTGAATGCTGATCTGGGACACCAGATATAAAACTGTAAAAGAATCAAGTTTAGGTTAGAAGTACTTCTGGGAATTAGTGTCCAATTCGTACCAGGTTTTAAGTAAAGGCAGTTTCTCAAGCCATGCTCAGCTGCTCTTCCCTCTTCCCCATGTGCCTTTTATTTTTTCTCAAAGTGCTACAGTAGCTCAAAGGTACACACTTCGATGTGAGACACATCTTACCTCAAATATTGTTAGTGCAAGAGGATGAGCTAGGAACTCCAGAGACTTTAGTACTATCCTACGATCTTGGCCATTCAAGTCCACGCTGGATAACATGTGCAACTTAGAATCAAGCCAATAGAGGCGGCTTTTTATAAGGTCTAGGTAGGAAAAGAATTGTCATTACATGATAAGCCACTACTGCTCTGGCTTCCATTTAAAGTGTCTAATGAATTAGTATTCTACTTTCATGGTTCTTTCTGAACAGGGGTCCCAAAAACCTTGAGAAGCAGCATAGAGAATCTGTATCCACATTCATTTTTAGGGACTGACGGGATACCTGAGATTCTCAAACTAAATGACTTAAGAAATGTTACTCACATTACAGCAAATACTAAAAGAGGCTAGCATTTCTCCTCCCAAAAGCCAGAAGAAAACTGTTAAAAGCCTGCAGTTCAGGAAATGCTAAGGCACTCATGCCAGGAATACTTGGTATCAGTGTGCCCAAGACCCAAGATTCACTGAATCTGTGTCACATATTAGGCCCAACTGGACAACAGGCCAGTAATTATTGAATGCATAATTTGCTAATCCACTGTTTTACTTGTGTTGTTCAGATACTCCATCAAAAATTCCTGCTAGAATTTAGACGGAAACAGTAGACACATCTGCTAGTCCAGAATTCACCATGGAGATAAATGGAAACACTATGAAGCTGGCTGAGTGGGGGGTCAAGGAGGAAGAACATACATACCCAGTGTAATTCCGTTAGGCCACTGGATGTCCACTGTCACCAGCGGACGTCTATCAAATCCATTCATTCCTGCTTTTTCTATTTTAGCTGGTTCACCCCAGTCTGACCAGTAAACAAAGCTGTGAAGAATTAAATGAGAAATTAGCCCCAGTGGTTTCGAAGGGATAAAGTTGTAGCTTGAAACAAAAGTTTAAAGTGTGAACAGAAAACTCAAGGGAATCTCTAGTGACAAACAGCAACATTTAAGGGTCTCAATTATGTTCCAGGGAAGTAAAATTGAACATTAAGAATCTACAAGCTCATTATTAACTGTAATAATCTATGTTAATCTGACATTTAAATTCCAGCCCAAAGCCACAAGGTTATGCTTCCTTTCTAGAAGGTCGGTTCTTTCAGAGGAGTGAAAGACGAATATCCTTTAAATTTCACAGCAGGCTGGCTGACTGAGCTCTGTGAGGCTGCATGGGAGCCAGCTGTGATGACTACAGCCTTACTCAACTTCCTAAGCTGCTCTTCTAACCCAGCAAAGTATTCAGTCAAAAATTAAAAATCACTTGCATAGGAAGTGAGTGGGCAAAAGGGTCCGGATACAGCTTTTAGTACACATCAAATCAGGAATGTTAATTCATTAATGTCAACCAGCAGTCAGTCATACGAGAGTCAGATAGAGAGGACATGTCATATAAATAAGGCTGTCCCAGGGTCACTCAACTGGGGCACCACTGATATCCTGAATTCTAATTTCCAATTCTAATTCTTTGTTGTGGAGGGCTGATAAACCTTGAGATTTTAGTACTAATTCAGGTATGAGAAACCTCCTGATTTACACAGATACCATCCAAAAGGCTACATGATGGAAAACATAGACTACAAACCCAGAAAGTGGATCCACAGCTATGGAGGCAGGCTCTCGCAAGTCAGAGTTAAACAGGAACTTCCTCTTGGTTCCATCTAGGGTAGCTACTGAAATAGTCTTAGAAGCCGCATCAGTCCAGTAGATGGTCTTGTACACCCAATCAACAGCAATGGCTGCAGGATTATAGACATTGTCGATCATTTTAACATGTCTACCAACCTTGTCATCAATTGAGGCACTGAAACAGAATAGGTCACAAGAAATTTAAGAGTTTGACACCATGAGAGCATGGAGAATGGACTTTCTGCTTACAAAATGGTCAATGAATTAACACCATAGCTCACCACTCAAATTATTTAACCATGCTGCTTACTGATGCTAAATTAATAACGCTGTAGATTATCTAGTTGCTGGTATGTATTCTATATACAACAACAATAAATTTCTAAGTGAAGCTATTTGTTTCAGTATCCCTCATCTGAGTTGCTATCGTTCCCATTAAGAAAAGGCTGTACTACCATTTCTATTTGTAGCAGCAATGAATAGTTCTCAATTAACTGTGGAGAACAGGGAGAAAATATAAAAAACATGAAAGATGTCATCTTTTTTTACTTCATAGACAATTGTTAGTTTCTAATTAGGAACTGACAAAATTTAATAATTAGTGTTAGATTTAATGTCTCCAGGTAATTAGATGCTAGATGGAGCTAGACACAAAAGAAACTCCTCCAAGCTATCCCACAGATCACTTCCCAAGTGGCAATGACTTGTCAAGACACCATGAATGGAACTGAAAGTTACCTGAAGATGGCCTTTTGGCTTAGATCGGCCCAGAACAGTTTCTGAGCAGCAATGTCAGCATCGAGAGCCACAGTGTTTCTTAGTTGTTCAACTAGTTGGATATATTCTTTTCTCTCTAAGCCAATCTTCCTGATGTCTCTTCGATTAGTAAAGATCAGACTTGGCTCTTTGCCTGCAAGATGGAAGTCAGGGTTACTTAGTTTTGCTTTAAGAAGGCAGCATCTTTCTAAACCCCCTCCTCCCAGCAGAGGAGCACTTAAAAAGTAAAGGTATTATGGAATACCTCAGTAGTACCCGTTCTGGAGTTCCTGCCCCTGGGACCTGCAAGTGCTTCCTATGGTTTAGAAGGCAGTCCTGGGGTTACAGCCTTCAACAACAGGGTGGCTGGTGAATAAGTCACTTAATGGAGTTGCACTCAAGTTTTGGAAACAGTTAAGTATGCAAACCTGGTAGATATTCATGTTATTATATGCAAAAGGAATGACTAAAGCAGATGTCTGGGGGAGAGATCGCTATTTAACCTATACTGCTGTATTATGAGATAGCAGCATCGTTCTCAAGTACAATTTCATGTTTAGTTTGACTATTGTAGTCACTGGGTGTACCTTTTAGAGCACTTACTCGTAAAGGTACAACAGCCACAACAGTCCAAGTGCATTTACCTACTGCCTTGCACACACCAGTGGCAAGATCCATTTGATAGCCACGACTACATTCACACTTGTAACCGCCTTTTAAGTTGATACAAATTTGACTGCAGATTCCCGGATTTTGGCATTCGTCAATATCTAGGAGGGAAATTAGAATTAGTCTTGCTGCTCTTATACCTTACCAGGTACATACTGCCCTTTCCCACCACCCGCAGGGTCCAGGTTTTCTTCTTAGACTCACCTCCACAGGTTTTCCTATCTATCAGTTCAAACCCAGCCGCACAGTCACACTCGTAGCCTATAACTAGGTCTTTGCAGATATGGGAACATCCACCATTATTTACCAAGCATTCATTTATATCTGAAATAAAAATGTAGCAGTCACTTGACAAGTTATTTACAATTAATGTCTGTCTTTCACATTTAAAAACCAGGGTATTTGTGATAACTTACCAAGCTGGCCTGGTCAAACCCATAATTTGATTAATAACTAATCATTTATTTTATAGGTATGTGTTTCAGGGTGGATTATCTATCTCCTTAGCAAGTTACCAGTTAGTCAAGCAGCATTTATTCAAGTTTCTCTATTGCTGATCAGATACCTTTAAGGAGGTTAAACTATAAACTAGTTTGGGCCGGGCAAGTGTGGCTCATGCCTATAATCCCAGCACTCTGGGAGGCCAAGACAGATGGATCATCTGAGGTCAGAAGTTCGAGACCAGCCTGGGCAAGATGATGAAAACTCATCTCTACTAAATATACCAAAAAAAAAAAAAAAAATAGCCAGGTGTGGTGACAGGCACCTGTAAGTCCCAGCTACTTGGAAGGCTGAGGCAGGAGACTGCTTGAACATGGGAGGCAGAGGTTGCAGTGAGCCAAGATTGTATCATTGTACTCCAGCCTGGGCAACAAGAGCAAAACTCCATCTCAGAAAAAAAGAAAAAAGAAAAAAACAAAAACTGTAAACTAGCTTCTCGAACTACCTGGGCTTTTAAGTCATAAAGTTTCACTCTGAAGTCTACAGTAGAACTTCAGTACATTAAAAAGTTTAACCAGCCATCACGCGGGGGGGGCGGTCTAAACAGTGTTAGCCGTGCTGGAATGTATCAAATGTCCAGGCTCTGTACTTGGGCAACCCCTTCACTTACGACATTCTTTCAGGGGCTCATCACTCCAGTCCCTGCAGTCCTGCTCCTGGTTACATACTTTGCTGATATCTATGCATTCTCCACTTCTGCACTTGAATTTTCCAGGGCCCAAGCACTGATTGACTACAAAGAGAAAAAAAGAAGAGAGATTCCATGGGTGGGTCCGGTCAGAGCAATCCACTGCTTAACCAACAAGAAGAGATCCTTACCATTTTTGCAGTTGATTTCGTCAGAACCGTCAACACAGTCTCGGATACCATTACACTGCCTGCTACCATGGATGCAGCTGCCATCCTCACATTCAAACTGGTCAGGTCTGCAAGTTCGGGAGGCTGCAAAGGGAGGAAACACCATGGAATGAAGCCAGCAAATTGTCCCAGTTGATACAGGGAAGAGAACCGCACGTGCCATGCTAGAAGGCTACTTACGACAGTTGACCTCATCACTGCCATCCTTGCAGTCAGGGTCCCCGTCGCATCGCCATTTCTTATGGATGCACTCGCCAGAGCCGCACTGGATCTCACTGGCTGGGCACTTGGTGTGTATAACTGGCTGGCGGCCACACTGCTCCAGGGACTCATCAGATTGGTCAGAGCAGTCTGCATCATCGTCGCACACCCAGCTGATGGGGATGCAGGAGGAGGTGCTGCACTGGAACTCATGGGCGCCACAGGTTGGCGGGGCACAGTCCAGCTCGTCGCTGCCATCGCTGCAGTCATCCTGGCCATTGCATACAAAGTTCCTGGAGATGCAGCGGCCACTGGAGCACGTGAACTCATCGGGGCTACATGTTATGTTACCTATTAAGAGAGAGGATGCCCCATTCAAAGTGCATCAAGATTGGTCCTTTCAAGATTCTTGGCCCAAAATCTAATACATTGATCTTTAATCATTAATCCTAACTTACTAGTCCAACCTAAAGGCTAAAATGGAGGATTGAAATCAAGAACACAGTCTCATTGTACAAAAAATGCACACACTATAAATAAGTAGAAAAGAAATAAAGGACCAAGAAATAGTTGAAGACTGGAAATTAATTTGAGATGAGAACCACAATTAGCTGTGAAAGTGACAGTGGTAATAACAAACTGGAACAAGGGATTTCATTTTGGAAGGGAGAGATTGAGTTGTCCTTGAATCAGCATACTGCTTGTCAGGCCGGATCACAGCACTAGTTGAGAATACCATGCAACATAATATTCACAGCAAGCATTAAGATGTTGTCACCAAAAAGAGGTGAACCACATACCACCATACATGGTTCCTCTTTTTGGTCCTTTAAATAAGGATCGGGAATAACGAGTCATCTTAAACACTTTCCATTTTTAAAAAGTCATTACCAGGGCTAGAATCACCATTTAACATTCAGGTATGCTGATAATGATAAGCTAGTCCTATTGGCCAATTGGTACTTTGACTTAAATTCCTGCCAAACGTTTCAAGGTCACAATTTGGTGGCAATTAGAATAGAGACCACGACTCTCTTGGGAAGCAAAGTCTAGACTTATAAGGGAAACACTTTGGCAGCACCAGGGCTTACCAATATGGAAAACTCAATTCTAGGATTGAACACTAAAACTCATTGGACTAGGTGCAGTGGTACTGACCTCAGAAGGCGACTTCTGTACACAAGACTGGTGTTTCAACTGTAAATGCCCTGAGCTCCCTTGACTACTACCATATCAGGAGGCCCATGCTTGTCAGACTTGGGATCTGTAGATTTTAGAGGCTCTATAAAAAGGGCGGTAGCTTGAAAGAATGTTCAAAGCACTGTTTGTTCAACCTAGCGATTTTCCCAGGCCCTCACCTTCAACATGTAGCATTTTATTAAAGATTTTCCAAGATCAGAAATATGAAAGAATAGGAAACAGAGTTAGCTTTCAGAGACAGGAACTGCAACAGGAGACAAAGGTATCACCAGTTGGGTCGACTTTTCTTTGGGTATCTCAGGTAAGATGTTTATTCATGCTTCTGTGTCTTTTTTTTTTTTTTTTGGAAGAGTTATGGCAGAATCTAGTTCAGGAGCAAAGAAATGCTTGTATAACACTCAAATAATTTATTCCCACAATCCGATCAAGTTTAGACCTATGAATGTATTTGCCTATCCTACTCATCTTCTAGTTTTATTGAGCCAAAGTGCAAAGGACTCATGAATTACTATCACAACAAAGGCAAAAGCCCACACAATTGCTGCTTCCCTGAGCTACTTCTACATGGAAGTGCCTTGAATAACTTACCTTCTTATTTCTATTCGCCTAAAAGAAACACCAAGCAATTGCCAATTGCCACCTGAATGTCTTTCAGGGTTTTAGGGCAGTTATGAAGGACAACTAATTGAGCAGATAGTGAAGTCACTGAAAAGTGAGTCAATGTCAGTGCATCTTCATGCTTAGGTTAGTTTCCCCTGCCCACCCTTGCTTGAGGAAAAGGATCTTTGGGTTACGTCACTCAACACTGATCTTCTTACCACAGTTTTCTTCATCTTCTCCACTGTCACAATCATTTTCACCATCACATCTCCAGGACACTGGGATACACTGAGTAGAATGGGCGCCACAGCTGATTTCATTTATGCGGCACGTTCTCATATCTGTTGATGATATACAGTCTCAAAACAGCCTCAAAACTGATCAATGCAAAGCTGCTGCTTCTGTGCTGCTTGAGAACGCTAATACCTGTGACTCAGTAGCCTGGCACCCTGGTGAAATTTGACTAACTGGCTGAAGTTTGGGGAGCTCTTTCACCAGCTCCATTCCTTAGAAGCTATGCCAACCTATGCAACTTGGCAGTGTACCTGACAGCCTTGACCTTGTCACTCCTTCAAGGTCCCATGGCATGCTCAGTTCTGGCTTTTGTTTTACTTGGCATGGTGAAGTTTATTGGCTGGCCTGCTCCTAGACCACTACTTATCTGTTGGATATCAAGTGGGCACACCCAGATATTGTCACCTAATCTCAACTGCATGAAAGGTCAGACGTTCAAACACCTAAGAAATCTTCTATTGCCTAGATTCCTTTACAGGCCTCCTTCACAACCTCCTTTACATTGACATCTTGAAAAGCAGAAATATACCCTAATGCTTGACTTGACCAGGTCATTCTCCAGTAAAACTTGGGGCTGAATCTTTGTACAACCTGTCTTTAGCTCACAGGTTTTTAACTCACTTGCCCTGACCAATATTACTCTCCTCACTTCTTATCTAGAAAATGGAAAGTAATACCCTTAACTTCCTTTCTATTTGATTTTCTTTCATAATCACATTTCAGACCTAAATTTTCTTCATGTTAGTCCTTCTTTTTTAGCGCTTCCACCGGTACAGGCCTCTACTGACTTAAAATGAACTCTAAGGCTTTCTTCACCTTGACATTCATGTGACCTTAATTTATACGATCCCAAACCATCATTCTTTATGGTCTCATCGACTTTTTCCTAAGGACACACGTATACCTTTGCAAACCTATGAAGTTTCTCTTATTTAAGAACAAGATGTAAGATCTCCACTTTAGTAACTTCAGGTTACGTTTGTGTCAGAAGTCACCATATCACCCAATTACTAGCTACCTTACCTCTTCAGTAATAGCTTTTTAATAATATGGGAAGCTGTGATTCTAAAAGCTTATGCTTGACCCATGGGGAACCCTCACTTCTTGACTTAGCTTCCAGGACCAGAGTACCATCTGCTCAGAGTCATTATAATCAAACATTTGAAATCTATGCACCTAGTCAAGGAGTTCTTGATTGAATCTGCTGACTTCAGTTTTAAGTATTTAATAGCGAAGCTACCCAAGAGAACGTCAGTCTTGTTGGACCAGGGAAAATATTCTTTTAAGGAGGCTGACAAACTGATAATGATTTGACTGACCTTGTAGTCAGTTGACCTAAACTTTAAGGCAGGCAAAGAAAAATGAATACCAAGTAGTAGATTAAGCCATACTTAGAAATGTGAGACACCGAACAGCTTGGGCAAGTTCAAGGCCAAGGCAAGTTACACTCACGGCACTGTTCTGGGGTTTCATCTGAACCATCTTCACAGTCGGGATCTCCATCACACTTCCATCGGCTGGGAACACACTGGCCACTGCTGCACACGAAGTCAGATTCGGCACATGTCTTCTTTACTGCAAAAGTTTATTTGAAGGGTTAAAGGTGAAGTCACTTACCCACAGCCCTAGCTTCACATGAGGGCTCATACAGCATTTTGGCATGTTTTCCTTTAAAAAACAGCTGAGTCAATGGGCACTCAACCCCAATATTCAGGGGGACCTTCAGAAAAATTATTACTGTTGTTATTTTTCAGAGGAGGAAGATGCTCACTGGAGATATCTGAAGGAAACTGAAGTCAAGGTCAGACAGAGGTTGCCCATTATCTTACAACCCAGAGATACCTTACATTTAACTTCCCACCTGTTTTATAATGCTGAGATTAAGTAACACTTTCATTCTCTACATGCATTTCTTCCAAGTCATTTATTCAAATACTTCATATGTTTAACAGCTAAACATTCCATCTTCTGACTGGATCACAGTAGAACTGTTTGCTGGGGACTGAGTATTTGTTTCCCCCCAAAATTCATGTGTTGAAATCCTAACCTTCTGTATGATGTTATTAGGAGTTGGGGCCTCTGGGAGGTAATGAAGTCATGAGGGTGGACACCCCACGAATGGGATTAGCACCCTTATAAAAAGAAACCAGAGCTCTTGCTTTCTCTCTCTTTGTTATCTACTACGTGAAGATGGTGAGAAGATGGTCATCTGCAAACAAAAAAGACAGCCCTCACCAGATAGCAGATCTGCTAGCACCTTGATCTTGGACTTCTTAGCCTCCACAACTATGAGAAATAAATTTCTGTTGTTTTAGGTACCCATCTATGGTATTTTTGTGAGTGCAGTCTGAGCTGAATAAGACACTGTTCAAGGGGCATCCCTTAACAACACATGCGTTTAGTGTGGAGAATGAAGGCCAAACCCTAGTGCTAAATATTGTCACCCATACTGGTCTACAGGGGCAAAGGAGCTCATCAGGTAGAAAGGGAAGAAAACTCAATCAGTGTAACAAGAGATGTTGTATTTAGAATTCAAGGGAGAGAAGATTTTAGTCTTTCTAGCCAAGGGGTAGGCTAACATCAATCAGCTAAAAGTCACTGAAGCTGTCAGTGCTAATATCCATAACTGACTGCTAGTGTTAAAACAGCGTAAGGAAACGAATTGATTCTGCTAATTCTTCCTGGGGCAGGTCTTTCCCCTATACTTAGGGTTACCATGAGTTTGTTGTCCAAATTGGGACCATGACAGCAGAAAGGGGACACTATTATTTATATCCATAAGATAAGCATAAACCAGTGCTTTCCTAAGCAAACTGGGCAGCTTGGTCACCCTACCCATGAAGGAATCACAGAGAAGGATGAATCCTGATATAAAGTAGCTACATAGGATACCCTAAGCTTATCTTTCTTAGATTATATTCTTTCTTGCCTATATGCTTATACTTTCGACCCAAATTGCTGTTTTAAAACATTCCTCTATGACAGATATTCTGTGAAGGTAAATAAGTGAAAAATTCACAATTTGCTGAACATTTGAAAGGGACTGTTTCACATGTCACTGGTTTAAATTATGTAGGTAGAAGTCTCAAAGCTTAGAGTTTGCCCTTGGGCCATTCTGGATCAGTGTAAGATACTGTCAAGAGGAGCGAGAGTGATGACAGTTAATTTCTAGAACACAGGTTGACAAATTATGATTATCTAAAAAGGATTATCTCCCTGAATTACATAGCCAAGGAAACAAGACTGGCCATGCTAGCTTTTAGATTCATGCGTCTCTAAAATCACTGAAATACTCAAGCACTAGTGTTAATGAATTGAGTGCTATTCAAGGCCTATATTTCTTCATTTGGAGCATAGACTGGGAGGGTAAAGAAAGGATATTTGAATTGAGCCTTGAGAGACCAATAGAAATTTAGATGTGCTACAGAGGAACGGAAGTAACAGTTACGTATTTACAGTACCTAAATTGCTGATTAATTAGCTCAGCCTAACACTATAAAAGAATGAGTTATTGGGATGAGCAGAAGCACATGGCTTATAGAATCTAAGATTAAGTTGACTATGCCCGTTGACATACTGGAAATAAAGAACCCTGCTATATATTGTAATCAAGTTCCATATTAAGAGATTAGACCACAAATAGGAGGTAGCTTTGGAAGTTTCAAGTAATTCCATAGCTTTCCTCTTCCACAGAGGAACAAAATAAGCATTCAGAGCTTCCCTGACTGTAATGTTCCCAATTTCTTTCTCTATCGTCACACATGGTAGAGACAAATTTTTGCAAAAAATATAATTTTTCCCACCCCAAATGCTCTTGATTAGATATACATCTACCTGCTTTTCTTTCCCAAACTCTCCTACCATGTGGCTAATAGAGAGCATTTATACAAGACTATTTTAGAGAAATCCCAAGTTGACCCAGATTAGTTCCTACTGAGTCAGACGGTAAAAGAAGACTTTTGCAACATAAAGAGAATAATTACTTTTTAAGAAAAAGCAATGGGTTTTGCCAAATATATAGTTTAGAATAGAGGGAAAAACTGCTACTTACAACAGGAAAATAGTTGACAAGAGTAAAGACTCTCTAGGGAGATACTTAGTGAAAGAACTAAATTACCTAGGTAACCCAGAAATAGCACGGGACTCAATGTCTTGTGGAATAGATTAAATTCTCAGTGTTAAAATACAAACGATGTAAAAGTATTGCACAGGAGAATTATTCTTGGTCCTGAGACTAGATTTAAGTTTCTTCCCTGAGACTGTAGAATAGGCTTTTTTTTTTTTTTTTTTTTTTAGGGAAATACTTTATATTTCATGAAAAAAACTTAACATTATAATAGCTTTATTTGTAATTGTTTATTTCCTCTACTTCCTCTCCCTCTTCACTTCCATGTCCAATCTCTTCTTTCTTTTTAATTGCATTTTAGGTTTTGGGGTACATGTGAAGAACATGCAAGATCAGGCTTTCTTATACTTCCAAAACAGCTACTGATCTGCTCTGTGCATTGGCATGAAAACACTGTGATATTGCTCAGAGAGATCAGGCTTAGAACAAGGTCTGCCATGATGTTTACTGTATAGCATTTTAGTAACGACGCATGAAGAAGTGGGTAAGGGAATAACAAGATGGCAGTTGAGGAAACCTATATTTAGTCTCTACTTTTCTTCTGTATTTCTACCTTGCATAGTGAAAATCTTTACATAACATCTTTTCAAAGATAAATGACAATGTTAGCACTAATATTCACATACAACATTGTTTCAGAATGTTTACAACATTGAACAAAGGGATCCTAGAGCAAACTTCAGCATGTATTCATGGTTTCTAAATGTGATCTTGCCATTCAGTTCTCAGCTGTTCTGGCTTGACATGAGGTTATATAAATTGCATACATAGGCATTTCTCACAATAATCTTTTGATAGATGCTGATTGATGGATGTGACACTGTATCCCCATTCTCTTGCGGAGAGGATGTCTTCCGCCCTGCTAATGCTTTAGCATTAGCGACTATTGTAGGCAGAGAATTAAAAGAGAAGCCTTATCTGATCTTTGATCTGTGCTGGCTTGTAGTTTCTGTGTCAGGGGTTAATTAACCCCCTGAAACATTATGGGATTTTCTCATGTCCGTGGCTTGCTTTCTTTTCTAGGATCAGAGCCATCTGAAAATTAAAAGGGAAAAAAGGTCCCTTCTAAGCAATCTTCTGTCTGTCTCTATTTCTGGTCCACTTCTCCCTTCTCCCAGCTTCCTATTCCACTTGTTTGCCTGATCTCAGATAAACTAGGTCCTGTCATTTAAATGGAACAGCATCTTATCATTCCATACTCCAGCTGATAACCTCATGTCAAATATTCAATTTTATTCCTTTAGAGAAGTATAGATTCTTTGGACTCTTTCAAAGAAATTGTTAGAAGGGGATTTTATTTTCGGAATCTCAATACATTTGCAGATTGAGACATCATATTTTAACAGAATGCGTAGGTCATCAAACTCTTTACTCACCACAGTTCTTTTCATCACTGCCATCAACACAGTCTTCGTCTCCATCACATTTCCACAACAGGGTAATACAGCGACCATTTGTGCACTGGAATTGGGAGGGTTCACACTTGGCTTTTCTCCCTAGAATAAGAAGGGAACACTCAGCAAAGCAAGAATAGAGGGTGGTAGGTTATAGATCTGAGATACCTAATACCCATGGATGGGGACCTTCTCAGAAGGATACTGCAGACTCGGCAGGCTGTAACATCCTAAGGGCCAGAGTAGGATGGATCTTCAGGCAGTGACTGACAGTAATTGAGTTCTTAGCTGGGTACATGCTAAAACTAAACACTAGATTTCCCAGCCTTTTTCTCAGTGAGGTGTAGGCAAGAAACGACGTTCTGACTAATGGAATGTAAACTGAAATGGTATATATGACTTTAGGAAATGTCCTTAAAATGAGAGAGGATCCATTTTTTTTTCTATTTCTTTCTGGTACCTGAAAATTGAACATGGTGGCTGGAATAGTGATCTCGCGCAAATGGAGCCAGACCAATACAGAAGGAACCCAGATTGCCCAGAGACCACAGGGGGCATCATCTCTGCCTCTAAACGCATTCTCTCATTTTTTGAAACTACATGTGTGGCTGTAATCCACCAAGTCCTAATCTTTTAATGGCATTTCTTGTCCATATCCCTACTGTTATCCATTAATGATGTTTCTATTACAAGCACAGTGAAGAAGGAGAAGCAAGAAGAGGTTAGAGGTAGAGTTTAATGCATGATTCCTCCTCTTAGAAATGTAGGTCTAATTGGAAAAACACAGCTTTACAAAACAGCTCCAAGAGAAAAGCAACAAGAAAGTATAGTTAAGAGGCAAAGGAAGATCATTTGTAATTTAGAGACAAGAGAAAAGGAAAGTGAGGTAGAGCTGAAGATACATAGATTCTATTTCTCTGAATCTCAGTTTTCGTATGCTTAATGTATGGATATTTAATTCACACAATGGTGTGAACTAAGACTTGTAAGTGGGGGAGTGTTGGTTTTTTGCCCGGCACAGGCCAGCTAAGGTTCAGGTGCTTCCTATCATTAGCAGTTCCGTCCTTCTGGCGGATGTGATTGCTTTGCAATAAAAGGCACAGATGTGGCCGCTTAAAGCAAATATACTGCAAATATTTGAGAAAAACAGTGGAATCATATAGTTCACGCAGATTACTTAGGGAGGGTTTCCAAGCAGAAAGCCTTCCTATTTCCTGCCACCTTTCAGCATTTGCAGCTGTGGCATGCTGGCATAAGAACTGATATTACAGAGACAAGCACAGACTGGAACTCTTGTGTTATGTGCACAATACCCTAGTTGGTCTTCCTAGTGTCAGCTACTCCCTGCTGTCTGGGAGCCTTCTGTGCTTTGTGGCACTTCCCAGGGAGATTAAAATTTGGTCCAAATCAAGATGTCCATATGGGTGTGGTTACTTCCTTGGATATTAAATATATTGCTTTCAAAACTAGATGCATCACTCTGCTCCCATGAGTCTGATTAACCTAGGACCCAGCTACAAAGCAGAATGGTTCCCTACCTTCATTTCATAGCATTTTTTCATTCCTCACGTGTTTTATTGGTGGTAATATACTAGGGATTTAGCAAGGAACAAGAGGAGGGTAGAGATTGTTGTCAGGAAGCATCACCTGTTCTGTTTTATTCTGTTAAACCAAATACGAGGTACCTGGTACCTCTCCTCTCTCCCCTCATTGCCACTGAATTCTTAATATGTTTGCAATATTCTCAGTGCTGAGGGCACATGTCCTGTAGTTCTATATAACCTTACTACCTTTGGGAACTGTGAAAGTGGTAAGAATCTACCTTGAGTAATTAGAGAAAAAATGATTTGTAGTCTGAAAACATAGGTATAAGTATACTTGGAAAGATTAGCAAGGTTGCAATTAGGATACAGTGAAGGCTGAAAGCCTCTGATTTTTTTTTTTCAAAGGTTTTAGCTACCAAAGGTATTAAGTCCAAATGAGACAGAAACGTTGACATTGATATCTGCATAGTTAAAATGGGAACCCCGTAATCAGACTTGAATAGGAACTTAAAAGTCAACGTCAAATGATAGTTTCTCACCCCATGGTTAAGGTACCTGGAAGACAACCTCCTTAAAAATGAGTTTGAAGCTACAGATTTCATAGGCACTTAGAGTGGCCTTAGATTAAATATGGGCATACAGTATTCCAAGGGTGATATTTAGTCTACTGTTGCCTTAAGGTCTCTGAATTTAGTTGTAATATACAAGCTATCAACAGTAATAAATTCTATTAAAATCCCAGCAGCTCTGCTCCAAGAGTCTATAATGAGCAGACTCAGGATAGGCATCAGCATTTTCTGCTAAGAAAATATCCAAAGCCAAAAAGGAGTTTAATTTCTAGCTTTTCTCAACTCAGATATTTCCACTTTACTCCAGCTTCTGCCTGATCATCATAAAGCTGTGTTTTAACATCTCTCTTTCTCTCTCACACACACACACAACACACACACACACTCTCTCTCTCTCACTCTCTCCCCCACTCCCGCCCATAGGAACTGGTAGCAACAGGCATTAGGAGTACAGTGTGCTACTAAAATGTCCCTGTTTGTTTAAAAGAACAACATTGGGGTGGGGGTGGGAAGACAAGCTGGCTTTATAAAGGACTCTTTAAGGAGAGGCAAATAAAGACCTTAAGCTTTATGGCTATGCCTCTTCGTTTCCTAGTTTCCTAAGCACTTTGTTTTGAGGGATTGCTACTGGGCAGAAAGGGCTTCCCAATTCTGTTTAATTCTCTGCTTCCCACAGAGAGGGAGAGCTCAGACACTAAATCAAATGCCGAGCCCTTAGCCACTTGACTGGTACACTGTTAAGTTTTCTGTTCGAGTTTTTAAGAAGGTTCTACCTTTCCACCTCTGGTGCTCAGCTGGGACTGCTGCTGTGCAGAGCTCTAGGAGAATCGAATGCAGCAAATGAGTTAAGAAGCTTTTGATTTCCAGGGCTTTGGGGATTACAGGGTTGTGGACCTACAGTCCATTTCCATCCATGAAAGTTAAGTCTCAAATTCAGTATTATACTTTCATAAAGGGAACAAGTGGAGCTTGAAATCATCTACACTTGAGGTTCTTTTAATTCTTAGGGCTAAGCTAAAGCCGTAGACGCCTCAAATGATAGCTTGGATGTAGAAGTGCTAGGCACTTCTGCTCAGGTGAGAAGTTGGGGTAAAATGCAATTGTTAGTGGGTTCCCCCAAAGCCACAAGGTTTCACGAGAACCTAGAGGGGTGGCTGAAGTGGAGGGAAAGGCCACAACAGCAGGTGCCCTGTGTGTTCTGCCTCTGCCTCTACCAAGACTTTCTTTTGAATATTGGATTTTGGTGTACGAGTTTGAAAAGGGTTCTATTGATTTAAGAAACTGTCTAGGTTTTCTTCCAGCTCTAATACCTAGAATATCTCTGCTCCTTTGGGTGAAGGAGTTGGAAGTCACTTGTACCTACTCATTTATGTGGCTATTTAAATTTGTAATGAATGAATTCCTGGAGTGTCAAAAATTTCTCCCTTGTACTGTCACTTATATAGATGGAATCAGACTGTGCACGCTTACTTCAGGCATCTACGTTCTAGGGGCCTCCCTTCTCTGAAGAGTCAACATTGCTACACAGACACACTGGCAGTTCACTGGCTCCAAGAAACTCAGGGTTCTTCCTGGTGGTGTTTGTATAAATCTATGGGGTACACGAAATTTTGTTACATATATAATAAATGTATACTGACGAAGTCAGAGTATTCAGGGTGTCCATCACTCGAGTACAATACATTTTTGTTAAGTAGTCATTAAAGTTATTTCTTCTTACTGTCTGTTTGTATTCTTTAATCCACTTCTTTTCATCTGCCCTCGCTGTCTCCCCACTTCTGAGTCTCTGTTATCTTTCTGTCTACCTCCATGTGATAAAATATTTTAGCTCCCACATATGAGTGAGAACATATTTGTCTTGCTGTTCCTGGTGTATTTCCCTTAGCATAATGACCTCCAATTCCATCCCCATGCTGCTGCAAATGACATGATTTCATTCTTTTTCATGGCTGAATAATATTCCAGTGTGTATATGTACCACATTTTCTTTACCCTTTCATCCATTAATGGACATTTAGGTGGATTCTTTATCTTTGTTAGTGTACATAGTGCTGCGATAAACATGCCAGTGCAGGTGCGCCTTTGATATACTGATTTTTCCTTTGGGTAGATACCCAGTAGAGGAATTGCTGGATTACATGTTACTTCCAGTTTTAGTTTTTCGGGAAATCTACATATTGTTTTCCTTAGTGGCTGTATTAGTTTACATTCTCACCAGCAGTGTGTAAGAGTTCCCTTTTCTCCACATCCGCAGCAACATCTGTGTATTTTGCCTTTGTGGTAATAGCCATTCTGACTGGTATAAGATGATATGTCATTGTGGTTTCGGTTTTCATTTCTCTGGTGATTAGTAACGGCAGCCATTTTTTCATATATCTGTTGGTCATTTTTATGTCCTCTTGGGAAATGTCTATTTATATGTTTTGTCAACTTTTGAATGGAATTATTTGTTTTTATTCCCCCCTGTTATTTGACTTTGTATATTCTGGATATTAGTCTCCTGTCAGATAATAGTTTGAAAATATTTTCTCCCATTTAGCAGGGTGTTCTTCACTTTGTCGATTATTTCTTTTGCTGTGTAGAAGCTTTTTACTTTAATTAAATCCCATTTGTCTATTTTTGTTTTTGTGGCCTAGGCTTTTGAGGTTTTTGTTTTAAGTTCCTTGTCTAGGCTGATGTCCTAGAGAGAGACTCAGGGTTTTCAATGCATATAGAAGTCAGCCTGCCATTGTCTATTTTTCCCTGCAGGGATTAACATGGGAGAACAATATGTAAGCTTCAGTAAAAAATGGCATAGGCCTTCGAGTAAATACCAAGCCTTCCAGATGGACTACACATCTCCCTATGGGGCTCTGAGCAGCACCCGGGGAACAGCACTCCAACGTGCATGCCCAGAATATAGAGAAAGTGTCTCTGGGTACCAGGTTCACAGTACAGTTCAATCTGCACAGAGGCTCATGCTGCCACACTGCTGGGGCCCCAGGGCCAA